AATGGATGGCTTAGCTGGAGGAGTCTCCCTCTTTTCTAAGTGTAGGGGCTCAAACTCTAGATTCTTTCCCAAGACCCTCTACCTTCCAGTGCCAACACCCATGCCGCCAAATCCTCACCATTCACTTCCTCCAAATTCGTCAAACATGCAGCGAGGGGATCTTCAACCGTCAACACTTCATCATTAGACTGTACGATTACATCCACGGCATCAATAAGAGAGCAATTGGCTAACTCACTTGGTCGCCTCATAGATTTATGCACATTGAATATAATCTCTTCGTCATTGAGCCTCATCTTAAGTTCCCCGGTCTCACTATCAATAAGAGCTCTCCCTGTGGCCAAGAATGGTCTTCCTAAGATGGTAGGGATTTCTTCATCCACTTTGCAATCCAATATCACAAAATCTGTAGGGAACACGAATTTCCCCACCTGAATAAGTACATCATCAAGGATCCCAAATGGACGCTTCATAGTCCTGTCAGCTAGCTGCAACAACATAGAGGTGGGTCTAGCTCTCCCAATGCCCAACCTTTTGTAAATGACCAGGGGCATAATATTAATGCTAGCCCCTAAATCACAGAGTGCTTTCGCAAAAGCAAAGTTTCCAATAGTGCATGGAATAGTAAAACTCCCTGGATCAGAGAGTTTTTCAGCAACAGGTCTAGTTACCACTGCACTGTACGTCTGAGTAAGTGTCACCGTGGCCAAGTCTTGGAAGTCAAATTTCTGGGACATTAAGTATTTCATCATTTTTGCGTATCCAGGCATCTCCTTTAAAGCTTTAATCAATGGAATATTAACCTGAATTTGCTTGAGCATCTCAAAGAACTTTTTGTACTGCTCCTCCTTTTGATGCTTGGCCAACCTTTATGGAAATGGAGCAGGAGGTCTTTTCTTCCCAATCACTTGGGACTTTTCTTTCTCAGCTACTATCTCTACTACCGGCTCTTCAACTGCTTCAACAACTTTCTCGGTCTCCTACTGAGTGTTCTTTTCTTCCTGAGCAGGCTGGATTGTCACATCTGTCAGCCTTGTGGAATCATCTAGCTCAATGGGTACCTGAATGAGTGTCTCAGCCTGTATATTGTCACGAGCTCTCTCCTGCTCTACATCAAGATCCCTGCCATTACGGAGACTCACCGCCATCAGCTGCTTCGGGCCCTGATCTTTAGGATTGATTTGGGTATCTGCAGGTAGCGTCCCCTGAGGACGAATGTTCAGAGACATTGAAATTTGGCCCAATTGCACTCAATATTTTTGATCGATGCGTCATGTGCATCTACTCTTTCATTTACCTTTGCATTGGATCCTATAACCTGCTGTATCATTGCTTCAAGTCTAGTGAACCCTTCTTTTTGCCTTCCACCCTGCTGTTGCTGAGGTGGGGGATACCCTTGCTGTTGATTGTTGTACCCCTGTGACCTTGGATAAGGTGCCATATTGTTGGGGGGTCTCATACCATCCATGTTTCCAGCGTTGTACTGTGGCTGAGGTGGTCTGTATGGATGCTGAGTTTGCTGACCCCAGTTCTGATTGCCCTGTTTCTGGCCTCCATAGTTTGACACATAGTTCATGTCTTCAAGGTGCTGCTGATGATGATCATGTTCTGCATTCCAAGGATTACCCATTGGCTGACTGATGCAAGATGTGCACAAGCCCCCATTGGTAGTATCTACAATGTGCACTTGCTGTTTCTGCCCTGATTCCTCCACCTTTTTGGTGAGTATGCTCATCTGTGTCAAGAGCGTCGCCACATTTTCAGCCATAGAATTTGATGGGTCAAAAGGCACTGAGTGCACCACTGGAGTGATGGGTGCATTCCTCGTCGTCCACCTCGAATTTTGAGCCATTTTGTCAAGCAGACTCTGACCTTCTCTCCAAGTTTTGCTCAAAAATGCCCCACCAGCTGAGGCATCTATAATATTCTTCATGCTATCTGACAGTCCCATGTAAAACTGTTGTCCCAACATCTGATCTGGAATACCATGGTGTGGACATATAACCAACATTCCTTTAAACCGGCTCCATGTCTCATGCAGTGTCTCCATTGTTTTTTGTTTAAAACTCACGATCTCATCAATTTGTTGAGCTGTTTTGTTGGGCGGGTGGAACTTGATGTGAAATTGCATGACTAACTCATCCCAAGTTTCTATAGAGTTTATGGGGAGTGAGTTTAGCCAGACTTGAGCAGCTCCTGTCACCGAGAATGGAAATAATATCAACCTGATTGTTTCCGGAGTTACGTTAGGTTGCCTTTGAGTTTTGCAAATCGACAGGAAGTTCTTCAAGTGCTGCTGAGGATCTTCGGCTGGTGTCCCAGAAAATAGTCCCTTGTTTTGCAACAAGTGCAGCATGTTGTTCGTGATCTGGAAAGATTTAGCTTGTATCGCGGGCCAGATTGTCAGCTGTGGGTCAGTCATATAGTGCAGCCTCAGGCACAGGAAGTGCCATATCTTTGACGTTTCCGTCGGCGTTGTCTGCGTCACCCATGTCAATTTCGAGTTTGTGTATTTGATGAGGTTGTTGAAGTCTTTTGTTGGTATGGTTCAATATACAGAATGTTTTCTCGGGGTCTGAGAGTCCTTCAAGTAGTTATCCAGTCCTCGTAGAGTTTCTTGGCATACACCTGAGCAACCCCGTCAACAACCGTCAAAAATTTCAATCAAAAATTTGGTGTAAAGTAAACTGACTTCCCTAAGAATTTTTGTATTTCTATCGATGGTAATTGATAATTCCGTTAAGTCCCCGGCAACGACGCCAAAATTTGATCACGCCCAACTATGCCCTCTAAAAAGGACTCTATGGACGTTGCAAATATAACCCGAATATTACGCTGAGGGTCGAATCCACAGAGAGTTAACCTATCAATCACTATCTTTAGACCCACTAAACTCTTGAGAACCAATTTCCCAAACGTTGAATCACAGTTGATGGTGTCTTTACTAACTAAAATTGCAAGTAAATAAACAACTGCAAATTAAGGATGCTAAGGTTGTAAACAATAATGAGAAAACGTTAAGGTAATGACTTCCCCTAATGATGGAATCCCTTCTGTTTATGCTTCATACAAATTTACCAACACACCTCTATCAATCATGAACGTTCATATTACCGCAAATCTCTCCCGAGTAATCACAGTAATATACTCAATGCACTCTCCCGAGATACACTAGCTAGCTTTAATTAACACAGTTCACTTTAGATTGCACTCAAGGCTTCGTTATCCCTAATCCCCCCTTTAAACCCCCAGTTATAGATCTCTCTTATACTTTGGGAGTAGTGTTGTTCAACAATAACCTAAATATGCACTCTCTCCCGAGTTATGCACACTAAATAGGCACAGTTAATTGAGGATCCTGTCAATTAACTACAACAAGAACATAGTTGAACAAATAAAGATTGAAACTAGCAATTTGTATTCACATAAATAAGAAGTTCATCCCCCAATAGGTTCCATCAAAACCTTAGACAAATGATTTAGCTACTCATAACTATGGGTAAACAAACTAAGATAAAATTCATCATAAACTAGCAATAAAAATCAAAGAAAAGAAGAAAGATGTTTTAGGTGATCTCTCACAATGGGTTTCCTTCCTAAGAAACTCTAAAAATCAGTACATGCCTCCTTTTGGCGAAGTCTAATGTTTAAAATAGGGTTTTGGGCTAAAAATCTCGTGTTTTGCACTTTAGTCCCTGTACTTTCTCGCGCCTGCCGCGGTGGAACCGCGGCCAAACAGCTCCTCTGAATCTCCTTCTGTCCGCGAGCAGTCTTCATCGCGGTTCTGCCGCGGTCGCGGTGGAACCGCGGCAGAATCATTTCTCTGATTCTTCAGCCTGTTTTTGCGTGGTTCACTTGGGATATTTCACGGATGGCCTCTCTTTCTTCAATTTTTGACTCCAAAAGTACTCCCTAGCCTTCCCTAGTCATATATAACCTGCAAGTCATGAAAAGCACTAATAAGAGCATTTTGTTATCACTTTTATTATCAAAACTATGCAAGAAGGCGGTTATTTAGGGCCTGAATATAGTTAAATTCACCTATTATCAGACTATTACATTTAATCATGATTAACTAATATATTCTCACACTATCAAATCACTTAATCATAGTAAACTGATATGAGTTGGTATAAATACCTGATGTGAATTAATATTATCACAATTAAAACTTATCTACACTCAATATTTATACCCCATCAATTAATGCTTAACATGTGTGTTAACTAATCAACTACCATCACTTAATCATAAGTAGCTATAACTTTTATTATTCTCACTACATTTTGCGAGTACGTATTTACTGCTCCCTCCATCCAAGTTTATTTGTTCGCTATCGTGGCACACCCCTTAAAAATAATTAATAACATTGTAATTTTATTATATTACTCATGTTTATTAAATATTGAAAAATAAATTGAAAAGTACTTCTATTAAGGGTAAAATAAATATAAAATGATAAATTATTCATTAATTTTCCAAAATGAACAAGTAAAAATGAACATTTATTTTTAGTATAGTGGATAAATAAACTTGGATGAAAAAAGTAGGTAAATACTCCCTTACTTCACTTTTACTTGTCCATTATATTAAAACTATGAGCTAATTTGGCTTAGCTGATTTAGAGTAGCTGATAAGCATAAGGTGTTGAAAAACATTTTTAAGTGCTGAAGCTGATTTAAAAAAATAAACAGTTACGTGTTTGGATAAAAGTACTGAAATTAATAATAAGCAGTTGAAGAACTGGGTATACGAAGAGTTTTATTTTAAAAAGAAGTATTTTAGGGATAGAATAGTAAATATTTTGGTCAAACCTAAAGTGCTTATAAGCTAAAATTTGATAAGTTGGGGGAGACCAACTTATGACTTTTGGCTTATTTTTGGCATATAAGCACTTTTAATTTTACCAAACGCGTAGATAAGCCAAAAAAGTGCTTATAAACCAGTTTAACCAGCTTATAAGCTAAGCCAAACACCCTCTATAGTTCACTTTTTACTTGTCCACTATATTTAGTTAAGAGAAAGACAATCTTTTTTTTTTTGTTGAGAAAATGACCCTCTATAGCCCCTCAAAATTTTAATAGCTTATGTTTTTCCCCACAGACCCGAAATGTCCCTCTAGCCCAAACATATTACATCTAATTGCTCGAAATGTCTATTTTTTATATAGTGACGGTCTATTTTGTATATTTTTTTATATAGTGACAATCTATTTTGTATGTATTTTGTACAGTGATAGTCTATTTATTATATTTTTGGTATAGTGACATCTATTTTGTATATTTTTTATATAGTGATAGTCTTTTTTGTATATATTTTGTATAATGACATTTATTTTGTATATTTTTTGTATAGTGATAGTTTTTTTTGTATATATTTTGTATAGTGACATCTATTTTGTATATATTTTATATAATGATAGTCTATTTAGTATATAAATTGTATAGTGACAGTCTATTTAGTATATAAATTGTATAGTGACAGTCTATTTTGTATATTTTTTGTATAGTGACAGTCTATTTGTATATTTTTTGTATAATGACAGTCTTTTTTGTATATTGAACGACTACACATTTGTAAAACCAGTCATTACATTAATTGATGTGATGCATCTCACTGTGATTTTTAATTATTTATTGTCTGTTAGTGTATCTAGGAATTGTAACAAATGGAGTATACTCCATGGATCCTATGTTTGAACTTACGTAGTATTATATAAATAAAATTTTGAATGCTAACTAGTTTGATTTCCTCAATCATATTCACACAGGATCTTCAGTTTGGAAGTGTAAACCCTATACATAATATTAACTCCCATATTGTGCCAACTCTCTCAACAACATTCTTAGTAGACAAGCAACTTAAATGCTCCAAGTGATCTAGGGTTTTATTCGTAAATATTGTCAATTTTGTTGATGTCAAACTCCTAATTTGTCCAGAGGTACAGCTATAAATGGTATTGTGATAAACATATAAAACATCTGTCCTTATCAAATTTCATACCAACAACAAAAAGTATATGTCTGTATATATCTGATGTCTCTGCATCACTGCTACAGAAGATTTAGCGTCATTAGTTTAGCTCAGGTGGGTTAGCGAATGTTTTGTTGTAGCCAATGCAATAAGTTTTTGGCTATAACTTACAATCAAATATAATGGGCTAGCGGTTATCTTAAGTTTTTGCGGAACTGCCAATTATGCCAGAACCTCTTCTTCTTTTTCATGTTTTACTTTTATCATTAACTACTCATTCTCCAAATTATTTTTCAAGACTTTTGAAAATGGTATCATTATTATGAGTAAAATTGTAAATACATATTTCATTTATTGTTTCTTTAGGAGCGTGAGAAGTTCAAAGTGGACAATTAAAAGTGAACGGAGGGAGTACGTTATAAACATTAGATTTTTAAATTTCTTACCCTCACGAGTCACATCCACAGTGTAATAAAAGTGAACGGAGGGAGAGTACGTTATAAACATTGGATTTTTCAAATTGTTTATCTGTAACGACCTGGCCGGTCGTTTCGAGAATTATAGCCTCGTTCCCCTATTTCCTGCTTCTTTTGTGTTCTTCAGCTGTATTTTAACTTACCGGGTTAGTTGGCTCGGGTCCAGAGTAATTTTGGAGTGAATTGAGACACATAGTCTCTTGTGAGAAGGTTTAAGTTGGGAAAGTTGACCGGATATTGACTTATGTGTAAATAATTTTGGATTTAAATTTTGATGGTTTCGTTAGCTCCGTTAGGTGATTTTGGACTTAGGAGCGCGTTTGGAATGTGAGTTGGAGGTCCGTAGTAGAATTAGGCTTGAATTGGCGAAAGTTGAAATTTTGGCAATTTTGGTCGGTAGTGGAAATTTTGATATCGGGGTCAGAATGGATTTTCGGAAGTTGGACTAGGTTTGTGGTGTCATTTGTGACGTGTGTGCAATATTTTAGGTCATTCGGACGTAGTTTGATATGTTTTGGCGTCGTTTGCGGAATTTGGAAGTTTAGAAGTTCTTAGACTTGAATCTTAGGGTAATTTTGTGTTTTGATATTGTTTTGAGCGA